AAAGCAACAAGTGTTGGCAAGGATTGAAGAAATTGGAACCTTTTTTTTTTTTTTTTTGAGACAAGAGCCTCGCTCTGTCACCCAGGCTGGAGTGCAGTGGTGTGGTCTCAGCTCACTGCAAGCTGCACCTCCTGGGTTCACATCATTCTCCTGCCTCAGCCTCCTGAGTAGCTGGGACTACAGGTGCCCGCCACCATGCCCAGCTAATTTTTTTGTATTTTTAGTAGAGATGGGGTTTTACCGTGTTAGCCAGGATGGTCTCAATCTCCTGACCTCCTGATCCGCCTGCCTTGGCTTCCCAAAGTGCTGGGATTACAGGCGTGAGCCACCACGCCCAGCCGAAATTGGAACCTTTGAGTACTGCTGGTAGATATGTAAAATGTGTAGTCACTGTGGAAAACAATATAGTGGTTTCTAAAAAAAAAAATTTAAGGTAGAATTACCATATGACCCAGCAATTCCATTTCTGGATATACATCCAAAAGAATTAAAAGCAGAGACTCAAACACATATTTGTACATCCATGTTCATAGCAGCGTTATTCACAATAGCCAAAAAATGGAATTAAATTAAGTGCCTATCATGGGATGAATGAATAAACAAAGTGTGGTATATACACACAATGGAATATTATTCAGCCTTACATGGGAAGGAAATGCTAACGTATGCTACACCATGAACCTTGAAAACATTATGCTAAGTGAAAAATGCCAGTCACAAAAGGACGAATACTGTATGATTTCATTTATGCAGTACTTAGTAGTCTAATTCATAGAGACAGAAAGGAGAATAGTGGTTACCAGGGGCTGTGAAGAAGGGAGAATGGGGAGTTGTTTAACAGGTACAGACATCCAGTTTTGCAGATAAGAAAAGTTCTGGAGATGAATGATAGTGATGGTTACACAATAATTTGAATGTACTTAATGTTACTGAACTATCCACTTAACAATGCTTAAAATGATAACTTTTATGTAACATATATTTTACCACAACTTAAAAAACAAAACAAAATCATCCTATAGTTGCTATGGAACTAAAGTGTTTATACTTTCAACTTCAATTCTGGTATCATTTTCACCTGTATTACTTAAAATTTTTTATGCTTAATAAATACTTTCAAGGTTTATACTAATTGAGCTTCACAAGCATATGAATTAAGGTAAATGTCAAATAAAGAAAACCAACTCTTGGTGCATAGCTAAAGGCATTTCCTAGGCAATAGATTCTCTTAACTCACCTATGTCAAGAATTCTGTCCCCAGGTCGGTTCCACCTCCAACCCTCTAGCTGCTGATGCTCAGTGTACTGTAGCCTTCTGTCATGGAACACCACACGGAATATACTCTAAAAGGATACAACAAAATCAGACGATAACAGGACCTCTTGAAAATCAGTGCTGACAAAGAAAAACTAGCAGGACTCACTGCCAGTTGGTTTCTAAACACAATCTAAAATTATTTTTCTTAACATCTGCTTCACTCTAAAACCCATACCATACTAAGTGCTATTTCAGGATAAAATTTTATAATTTCTCAGATATAATCTTTTATTTTTTTTTTGAAATGGATTTCGCTCTTGTTGCCCAGGCTGGAGTGCAATGGCACCATCTCGGTTCACAGCAACCTCCGCCTCCCGGGTTCAAGGAATTCTCCTGTTTCAGCCTCCTGAGTAGCTGGGATTATAGGCATGTGCCACCACGCCTGGCTAATTTTGTACTTTCTGTACAGACAGGGTTTCTCCATGTTGGTCAGGCTGGTCTCAAACTCCCAACCTCAAGTGATCCGCCCGCCTCAGCTTCCCAAAGTGCTGGGACTACAGGCGTAAGCCACCGTACCCAGCCAATTTCTCAGATATAATCTTTATAGTTAACTGGTACCATATTTAAAACTTGGCTTAAACTTCAGTCCGATGGTAAGTAGGCATAAAGGACTCCCATCTGAAGCATTGCTGCATGCCTCTTCTGTTACGCCATGGCTTATCTGGCTTAGTTCTTCAGATGTACATGAAAAACACACCAAGTGCCCTGCTTGCTAACCCACCATACAACCTGTAAACACTGAGGGTAGGCAGAGCCTATTTCCATCAACTTTCCTTTTGTTACTTTTACTTTGTAGTAGTGTCTGTTAATTCCTCCCACCACCTTTTGACAAAACTCCTGTTTCAATTGTGCTGTGAATTATCAAAATCCTGACTGTTAATCTAGACTAAGAGAACTGCTCTTCATCAAAGTAGCTTCTGTTTTCCTCGCTATAAGACTAAGTATCAAAAAAGACACTCAGGCTTCTCTAAAGATCTCAAGGAGGTTACTTTACTCCAAAAGAACTTCACTGAGCCAGGGGTGATTACCCTGGACAGGGAGTGGTAAGCATTCTATTTCTGAAGCTCTGAAAAATTCATGTGAATAGTGGGGCCTACTCTGACCCCAAAGAAATAACACATCAGCTTACCACTCTGCCAACAAATTATGGCAGGCAAGAGATACCATCAAGCCCTTGGAAGCAAAAGAACATTAACAACAAAAACAAAAATTTAAAATCACAAAAGGATTAATAAAAAAAATTGTACAGAAGAATGATTTATTCGTTTTACCTTCACCAATTTGCCATTAATTTCTGGAAGTTCTCCAAGTTTCCTATTGTCTAGCATTCGAATTTCATAAGACTGTCCTAGAAGAAAAAGTAATTACATATTATATTCATCACAAATTAACTTTGCTAGATTCAGAAAGAATAAAATTCAGTTGGTTGAATATACAATAGTATAATAATATTATTAGTATTAGTAACAACAACCAGAAGCCTTTACTAGATGCTCAGCCCTGTGCCAAGTATTGTCACATATTATCTCATTTAACTGATATACCTTTCTAAGGTATTACCAATCCCATTTTACAGACAAAGAAATGGAAACTTAAAAGAGTTTTAGCAACTTGTCCAAGGCCACACAATTGGTAAATAATAGAGCCAGGTAGAGTAATACTTCTCAGACAGTAATCAATGGGAGTGTCTAGGGAACATGATTAGGAAGAGGAAGCTGGGAACTAAAAATGGACAGCTAAGCAAAAGAAGCTAGTAATAGATATCAAGTATGACATTAGAACTCAAATCTCTGAAGTAGGACTTCTAGTTTGATAGGTCATACCAGAAAGATCTAAGTTTTTACATATAAGTGTACCTAATAAAACATCATAAATGGCCGGGTGCAGTGGCTCACGCCTGTAATCCCAGCACTTTGGGGGGCCAAGGTGGGCGGATCAGGAGGTCAGGAGATCCAGACCATCCTGGCTAACACGGTGAAACCCCGTCTCTACTAAAAATACAAAAAAGCACATGCCTGTGGTCCCAGCTACTCAGGAGGCTGAGGCAGGAGAATGGTGTGAACCCAGGAGGCGGAGCTTGCAGTGAGCCGAGATCGCGCCACTGCAGTCCAGCCTGGGCGACTCCGTTGCAAAAAAAAAAAAAAAATCATAAATACTGTAGGCCTGCAATAGTACTAATGAATGAGGAAGCATCTAACCTTGATTGAGATACGTTAGGGTTTCATCATGGAGTTTCACTGCTGGAGAGGTAGCAGCACAAAGCACATATTGAAAAGGCAGGATTTTATTCTCATTATCAGGAGGCAAACTTGACTCTTCTTGCTTAAAAATGGGCAATGCGAGGACATCACTAAAATAAAACAAATGACTCACGTTAATATCTGGCAACGGTGCAAAGGCAGCTTTATTGGTAAATAATTTAATTGCAATGCTTTGGAAAGCCATAAACATTACTCACCTTGGTGGAGTTTCACCCCAACAATTCCATTTAGATTACCTGCTGTGATATCCCCCTGACCACAATAGTGTGGGTGATGACAGATATTCACTGCTAAAACCACTAAGTGTGAAAGAGAATGTTTCTAGGAATCATAGACAGGGGTTCCTAAAAGGACTCTGGAAATTATAAACAGAGTTCTAAAATGTATAAATCTAGGACACTTAGTAATGTCTTTGTTCTCAGAAAGGCAACAACTATACTACCTGTATAACCATATCAGCTGATTTTCTATAAGGACTAAAATAACTTCTACAATTCCTTAGAAGCCACATGAAAAGGACAAATCAATAACAAGTATATATTTCAAGGTCATCTTACATTCTGTGGAATAACAACTAATATTGAGATGTTCCTACAAGCCATTTCCTCTAAGAAAAAGCTTTTTGTATCTATCAGTTTATCTAAACTTGCAAACCAAAGACATACATCCATCCTTTGTCATAGGAATGTAAAACCACACTCTCATCCTTTGTCAGTAGGAATGTACAATAACATAAACACTTTAGGAAAAGGTTTGGCAATTTTTTATAAAATTAAACATGCAGCCAGGCGCAGTGGCTAATGCCTATAATCCCAGCACTTTGGGAGGCCAAGGCGGGCAGATAACCTAAGGTCCGGAGTTCGAGACTCGGCTGACCAACATGGCGAAACCGTGTCTCTATTAAAAATACAAAATTAGCCAGGAGTGGTGGCACGTGCCTGTATTCCCAGCTACTCGGGAGGCTGAGGCAGAAGAATTGCTTGAACCCGGGAGGTGGAGGTTGCGGTGAGCCAAGATGGTGCCATTGCACTCCAGCCTGGGCAACAAAAGCCAAACTCCATCTCAAAAAAAAAAAAAATTAATTAATTTAAAAAAAATTAAATTAATCAGGCATCTATTGACCCCAGCAGTTCCACCCATTGGTACTTATCCAAGAAAAATGAAAACATAAGTCCACCCAAGACTTGTTATAAATGTCCACAGCACAAAAGCAAAAACTAGGCCAGGCGCAGTGGCTCACACCTGTAATCCCAGCACTTCGGGAGGCTGAGGTGGGTGGATCACCTGAGGTCAGGAGTTTGAGAACAGCCTGGCCAACATGGTGAAACCTCATCTCTACCATAAATACAAAAATTAGCTGGGTGTGGTGGTGCAGGCCTGTAGTCCCAGATACTTGGGAGGCTGAGGCAGGAGAATCACTTGACCTCAGGGGGCAAGAGGTGCAATGAGCCGAGATCGTGGCACTGCACTCCAGCCTGGGCAACAGAGCAAGATTCTGTCTCAAAAAAACAAAAACAAAAACAAAAAACTGGAAAGAAACTAAATGTTCATGAGTAAGAGAACGGATGTACAAACCATGGTATATCCATACAATGGACTACTCAGTGAAACAAAGGAATGCAACATGGATGAATCTCACAGATATAATGCTCAACAAAAAAAGCCAGACACAAAGAATGCATGATGCATGGTTCTGTTTATATGACAGTCTAAAACAGGCAGAGTCGAAGAGAACAATGGTTTCCTGGTGGGGCAGGGGATGACTTGGAAGGTATATAAGGGAACTCTGTAGGGAGATGAATATGTTTTATACTATGATAGGTCTGCTACACAGTTGTAACTCTAACAGCTTATTTTTGCATCTCACTGTAAATGAATTTTACCTAAAAAAAAAATTTATTGAATAGAAGATGGGGAATAGGTAGAAGTAAAAATAATAAAAGAGGGCTAGGTGTGGTGGCTCACGCCTGTAACTCCACCACTTTGGGAGGCCAACGCAGGTGGATCACTTGAGGCCAGGAGTTCAAGACCAGCCTGGCCAACATGGTGAAACCCCATCTGTACTATTAATAGAAATACAAAAATTAGCTGGGTGTGGAGACACACACCTGTAATCCCAGCTATGTGGGAGGCTGAGGCACGAGAATCGCTTGAGCCAAGATTGTGCCACTGCACTTCAGCCTGGGTGACATAGCAAGACTGAATCTGAAAAAAAAAAAAAAGATAAAAAGAGTAGTAACATGTTGATGACTGTTCAAGCAAGGTGATGAGTATAAGAGGGTTCATCATATAATTCTGTTTACTTTGTATATGTTTGAAATTTTCCACAGTAAAGTTTTTAAAAAAAAAAAAAAATATACATAGGCCACAGAGTACTTCTGGGTACAAAAGAAAAGGAACAGGGCACATGAAATAAAAGAAACAATTAAGATTCCCTTGGCCAGGCATGGTATGGCTCACGCCTATAATCCCAGCACTTTGGGAGGTCAAGGCGGGCAGATTACTTGAGGTCAGGAGTTTGAGACCAGCCTGGCTAACATGGTAAAACCCCATCTCTACTAAAGATACAAAAATTAGCCAGGTGTGGTGGCGTGTGCCTGTAGTCCCAGCTACTCAGGAGGCTGAGGCAGGAGAATCACTTGAACCCGGGAGGTGGAGGTTGCAGAAAGCCGAGATCACGCCACTGCACTGAAGCCCAGGAGACAGAGCGAGACTCCATCCAAAAAAAAAAAATCCCCCCCAGAAGATTAGAAGTCAGGAATCCAGCGAATTTTTTTTTTTTTAGACAGTCTTGCTCTGTCTCCCAGGCTTGAGTGCAGTGGCACGATCTCGGGTCTCTGCAACCTCCACCTCCCGGGTTCAAGTGATTCTCCTGCCACAGCCTCCCAAGTAGCTGGGACTACAGGCACATACCACCACGCCGGGCTAACTTTTATATTTTTAGTAGAGACAAGGTTTCACCATGTTGGCCAGGCTGGTCTCAAACTCCTGACCTCAAGTGATCCGCCCACCTCGGCCTCCCAAAGTGCTAGGATTATAGGTGTGAGCCACCTCACCCAGCCCAGAGATTCTTGTTAACATTTCCCATGTTCAAAATGGAATACATTCAAACCTTTACCTATAATTTAAATATTAAGCTTATAAAGAGACCAAAATGCTTCTTTTTAACCATTCACAGATGAAAAAGCAATTATTTATATGTACCTATATCCCTCACCAATACACACATTTTCCCCAATACATCAGATTACAGGGTCATTACCTTCAGGCAAAGACACTATTGACAGAAAGTTGACTACACTCTTGTGAATTTTACAGACAATATTATAAATTATTACTGGAAAATAAAACAAGTAGCAAATGTTCTGATTATTGACTTCACACACAGGTATAATACAAATTTACTAGCATGAACACTAAAAAAAGGAGGGGTGGAAGAGAAGAAAATTTTTCTTTCTGTTGATATCTGAATAACAATAATATGTTATTATTTGAATCCAGTAAGACTTGATGCAAACCAGTTTTCAAGAAACAGTTTTCTTTTTTTCTTTTTCTTTTTTTTGAGACAGAGTCTCCCTCTGTCACCCAGGCTGGAGTGCAGTGACACCATCTCGGCTCACTGCAGCCTCTGCCTCCTGGGTTCAAGTGATTCTCCTGCCTCAGCCTCCCGAGTAGCTGGGATTACAGGCATCTGCTACTACGCTCAGCTAATTTTTATATTTTCAGTAGAGACAGGGTTTCACCATGTTAGCCATGCTGTTCTCAAACTCCTGACCTCAGGTAATCTGCCCACCTCAGCCTCACAAAGTGCTGGGATTACAGGCGTGAGCCACCGCGGCCAGTCTATGAAACAGTTTTCTCATCGTTAAAAAATATTTCAATGGCCAGAAACACAAAAGGCACTTTCTTTTCCTTAGGCTTTGCTCATATGAGTTAAGAGTGGAGAATGTTGAGGGAATCCTTCTTCCTGTCCATATTAATTTTCTTCCACGTGAAACATATTGTTCCCTTGAGACTATTTACAACTGTAGAAACAGAGTTTTCTAAAAAATTACTCTGTTCTAGTTATTTTATTTCTCAAGATCAGGAAGTTACCAGTGCTCTCATAACAAAAAGTATAGAAAATAAAGTAAAACACCACAAAACTCAACACAGTGTTAGCATTTGGAAGCCTTTACTGTCTTATCATTCTCAAATACATCACATCTGATGATTCTTTAAAAGATTAGTAAAGATTACCAGATATCAAGGCAAATAGGATTTTGAAACACAGCAACAGTTCAACCTTTATGAATGTAGGGTGGCTATTTTTTCTTCTCAAGTATCACTACCAACCAAGGTTAATAAACAGCAACCATTTCTAGTCTTCTCAGGATCATGTGGCATTACACCTAACCCATGACTAAGCAAAGGACTGTTATCTGGGGCTAGAATTCTCAAACTGATTCTCAAAGTTACCCCTAAAACTAACTCAAAACAGTACAGCCAAACCAAATACACAAGACTATATTTCCTCATCAGAGAGTTTAAGATCTATAAACCCCAAACATATTTCAATTATTCATAATCTTGCTACACTGCATTTCTTTTAGTCTGCTGTGGGAGCAAAAGTACCATTCAGTTCCACATTCCTAGAGATAGAGGCTAAAGGTCACTGGAAATACAATTCTAGGTCCCTATTTATACCAAAACAAAAACAAGTGCATCCAGAAAGAAACGGTTTTGGAAATCCAAGTCTGCTCTTCCTTAGAGGTGAGTTTAGATAAGGAAAACCCAAACCCATTCTGGTAGATTCTAAGTAGCTGTTGCCAATGTATAATTTAACATTTTATTATATTTTCTGATTGCTTTATGCATTTAGTTCATTTTTTTTAAATTTATTTTTTATTATTTTTTGTAGAAATGGAGGTCTTGCTATGTTGCCCAGAGTGGTCTCAAACTCCAAGCCTCAAGTAATCCTCCCACCTCTTCTCCCAAAGTGTTGGGATCACAGACATGAGCCACTGTGCCTGGATTAATTAATTTCAATGAACCGTAAGCTATTTGAAAGGAAAACTTCTCTTTCCTGTTCTTAGCAAATATTCACTGA